CTTCGCGGGGTCCCCTGGAAAGCCTGCTCTGTGTGACGCTGAGGGACAAGCTCTGCCAGTGCAAACCTGCGTCCCACCCTTGGCCCCAGCCTGAGTGGCCGAGCCTGGAATTTCAGGAGCAAGGGAGCAGATGCCTGGGAAGCAGCCCCAGGTCCATGGCCTGAGTCTGGGATGCAAGGGGCTGCAGGCCATGAGCTGCCACCCACCCTCCCTCCCTCACTCCCACGGTTTTCTCCTCCTCTTGGGAGGGATGGCCCAGCGCACATTGGCCCAGGGGATTAGGTGCTTTGGGCTACATTTCCCTACACGTTGGTTCCCACATGGTGTTTGTTAGTCACAGCTAATTACTAAGTACGTGGCCAAGGCGATAGACATTGTCCCCTGGCTCCTTCCCCCTTCCGCCCCTGTGCCCCATTGCTGCAGAACAAAACCCACCGGGGGCTGTGCAGGTGGGCTGTGTGCAGGTTTTCAGGACCCCCGTGGGCTCCCGGTTCAGGCTGAAACTGACCCTAGAGGGGCTTTCCTCAGGGACACTGGCACGTTCCGGCTCACCCACCCGAGCGGCTCTCGCACAGAAGGATGAAGTACAGTCCGGAGGTTTTAAGATCAGGTTTGGCCCCGGGGCTCCAAGGCCAGTCAGAAAGGAGGAGGCGCTGCAGGAACAGCAGGCTCAGGTCCGTTTCGTCCCCACCCAGGCCAGCCCTGCCCTGGCCTGCTTCCCACGCTGGCTCCTGCAAGGCAATCTTGAACTCCTGTGAGTGCAGCCACAAACTCGTTCATGCCTCAGACAGGAAGCTGCCCAGGAGGGGCCGCTCATCTCAGAGGTCCAAGCCTGTGAGTTGAGGCCGGAGTGCGAATTAGCACCAGTATCTCGTGTCTCCTCGATGGCCCAAGGCTGAGGTAATTCTGAAACGCACCATTGGGCTGCTTTTCCCCTTGCTTGGCCGCTGTCTTGTGGAAAATCCTCACCTGGAGGATATAGAGGGCCGGAAAGACCGCAGGACGCTCTGCTTTTACTCTGGCCGCCTCGGTCACACACACAATCCCATGGCACCTCCCGGGCTGGTGCGTTGCTCAGCCTGAGGCTGCGGGGCAGCCTTGCTCTGCCTGTGTGCGACACCCCACAGAAACAGGCACTTCGAAAGGCTTTTGCGAGCATTGTGCTTTCCAAGGCTGCAGACTTGGATGGAGGTGCCAACCTTGGCTCCTCACTGGTGCTGGAAGTAAGGACAAGGTCCTGGGTGTCCCTGATGTCAGGTTTTTATCTAAATCTAGTGACTGTCCGTCAGGGCCACTGTGAGGAATTAAGTTCAGTCATCTGTGTGACAGCTCTATAAAAATCCTACCGGGCACTGGATCAACGTTCCTTTCCCTGTAGCTTACCATGCCTGCCCCAAGAACGGCATGTTTGAGGCAGAATAAAACTCTTAAAAGACATTTTACAACTTCATCCTTGACTTGGAAGCTTCTGGATTTTGTCACAAGTTTGACATTAACCAAATGAAACCTATAGACAATGTTTGTCTTAATCTTTTACTGAGCACTTATAAAACTGAGCATTTCCTGGGGGAATATGGCCTGGGCTTCTAAGAGAACATTCTGGGAAGGAAAATTAGAAAGACTGAAAAGACCAAGCCTTGTGTTTTGCCCTGGCAGACTCTGGGGTGCCGGTCTTCCCCGCGCCTCGGTTGCATGGGGGCTCAGTCCCTGTTTCATTTCCTTCCAAACAAGAACTATAGGCTCAGAAGCTTGTTTTCAGAGTTTAGGAAAACAGATGTTTTTGCTTATTTTTCTCTTTGTCTCTCCTGCCAACACGCTCCCTGAGTTTTCCATGGGCTCTGAAGTTGTTTTTCTGTTGTTTTGTTTAACTTTGAAGCCCCATCTTGGGAAAGGGTCATTATGACTGAAGATGGACAGACAGCCAAATGCAGAAAGCTCTGTTTCAGAGTCTAATGAGAATGGGAACTGAAGGCAGGAAGCACTGAGAACAGACAGTGAGGAGAGAGGCTTGTCTTTTCCCAGGCCTGCGGGCTACGCCGGCGTCCCGGCAGAGGCGATTACCAAGCAGACACTTTCTGATGAGTTCCCAGGCTCTGCAGTGCTGAGCCAGGTAGTGGGGCGTGTCCATGACCGCCTGCCATGTCCGCCCGCCCGAGGCCGGTGCCACTCAGTCCCTGAGCAAACATGGCAGGCGCAGGATTGGGTTCTGCTTCTGCTCTAACACATCCACACAAACCTAGCAGCATCCCCCGGCACATGCTTACTGTACAGATGTGCTGCTCAGAAGCTGGCAGGTCTTCCTAGAGGAAAACCCCGGTGTGTGCACAGCTGCCTTCCTTTCTGGAGGCTCTCAGCAGAGCTCATGTTGGCCTCTGGGGGCCAGCTGCACACCTTGGCTTCTGACCCCACCCCTCTGTCTCCAAAGATGAGAACAGGGTGAGCCTCCTCACACTGTCTCTCATCTCCTCTCCTTCCTCTGTCTTCCATTCCAAGGGACCTGCATGGGGTGCATTGGGTCCACCTGAGTGATACCACATAATCTTCCTGTTGGAAGGTCAGCTGAACTCCATCAAGTGACCTCAGTTCCCCTTTTCTGTGTAAGTGAATAAAGGCACAAATTCTAGGGATCCATATGGACCTTTCTGATACCATGGGAGCACACAGGTCATTTTTACACTAGGTATAGTAAGTGTTTATAGCAGGCCTCTTCTGAGGACAAGAAACAGGACTTAACACGAGCTGCTAAAGAGAAGAGGATTTTATTGCTGGATCCATGCGTCCGACAGGGGCATCCCAGCCCTCCCTTCTTGCCTGGTTCTCCATGGTGGCCTGGTTCTCAGCAGGGACTGGCTGGCTTCGTGCTGCCTGGAGCCGCCCCAGCAGCTCCAGAACCCACAGTCCCAGAGAGGAAACCAGGACCGTTTCCTAGGCAGCACTTGCAGAATCCTGAGGGTTCAGGTGCTGCCCCCAAGAGGAGGAGCAAAGATCTTGGCACGGAGGAAGCCACTGTCCACCCACCACGACACTGCTGCATTTCAGAGCCTCGGAGCTGGTGGACTATTTGGCTCTGAGCCACGGGTCACCCAGGGCAAGTATAATGAATTCCGGTAGCCTGTGAGAGGCAGCATTGCGTGGTGGCTGCCCTGATCTGTCCCTAGATGACCCCACAAGGCCGCATGCACTTCCGGCAGAGCTTTGGGAAGCGGCCAAATGAGGGGTGCTGTACTTGTGGGCGGGCTGTCTACCGATGAGTTTACAGCCAGACGTTCTGCGGGAGGTGGGCTCTGGGGGCAGAGGAGGTCCCTGGCCGCCGCCGGGGGTGCTTTGTCTCACTCCCTGGCTCCGCCCTTCTCTCTCTCTCTCTCGCTGCTTCCTGTCCGCCAGGCCGCTCTGCTGTCCTGTTTCTGCCTTGGAGCCGGCTGCCCACTGACTAGAACCACGGACCAAAATAAATCTCTCCTCCTCTGTGTCCCAGAGATGAGAAAGTGACCCAGACAGTGGTTAAGAGCATGGTTTGGGGAACCAGACTGCCTGGGTTGATGGCGGGATATCAGCTGTATCTTCGGGGCCTTCTGTGCCTTGGCTTTCTCATCTATGAAATCCCTATTTTACATTTTGTGTAAATGTGCTAGCACAAACAAAATGCTTGGGTAGGACCTCGACAGAGAAGCCCCTCGGTTAGTAACAGCTGTCATGGCGATTATTCCTATCCTGCGGTCATTGTCAGTGTCTGTGAGCTCCTGGAGGGAGGCAGGGATGTGGCCAGGGGCTAGGAGGGACGTCGTACACTTGCGTGGTTTCCCTTTGTAGCCAGGCTGCAAAGGCCGTGGAAGAAAGACCGTGTCTTCTCTCTTCCTCTCTCCACCTGCGCAGAGGGCGATGGGGCTCTCACCTGTACTGTGGTTCTTTCTGTGGCCGTCCACGGCCAGATATCTCCACCTCCATGCTCTGTCACCAAACCGGCGCTGCTGTCACTGTTTCCGAGCTCGTTGGTCGGGCTGATGGCTGTCTTTCCTTAAGAGCGCTCCCTTGTTTGTGAGCTGTGACTGGCAAGGACAGGGGAGGGGATGCAGAGAGGGAAGGTTGGGCTGAACCAGAATATCGATCAACGTGTCTTTTTAGGGCAAGCACGTAAACTGGCATTTGCCTACAGAGCAAGAGTCAGTTTCAAACAGTAGTGGTTGTGTCAAGGTATCGGGAAATAGGACAATACTAGGAAGTGCTTTAAACTAACCTGATGTAGCTCATGGTATTTTTAGAGGAAAAAAGTCATCTCCGTAAATGGTATATTTGTAAGTGAGACCTTTCAGCTGTAACTGGCAGTGCTCATCAGATGGAGACAACCCCCTCTGAATCCCTTCCTGTATAAGCGTCCCTCTGAGGGATCCCTCCTCGGGTGCCGTTGCTGTGCAGTCCTCATGTCCTTAGGTCAGAGGAGCAGATTCCAGTGTGCCGGGACGCCCCCAGATCTCCCCTTAGGTGGAAGGAAGATGATGCCTTCCTTGCTTTCCGTTCACCATGACCCTTTCTACTTTTCAGACCCTGACTTTTTTCCAGCAGTCTCAGCCCAGAGTATTCAGAACTTCTCTGTAGACAAAGATCCGGCTGCAAGCCCTCTGTCCTTTGCTTGGAGACTTACTGAGACTCTCCTTTTCCAGTGATAATTTTCACAGTGATGGGAAGGACCCAGGACCTACGCAGGATGAGGTCCTCCTGAGGGAGGAGGGAGATGAACCACGGGAAGGCTGGAAATGCTTCGGTCGGGGCTGGGTGTCTCAGAAAGCACTGAGATTTGGGGGGAATCAAAGCCATGTGGAGATTTTGATAGAGGCCCTCTGGGAAGCTTTCGAGGGAGAGGCTCCACGCCTGCCTTCACGCAGATTGGCTTTGAAGCATTCGCCACAAAGCACCAACCAGAGAGAGAAGAGAGACAGGAGCGGTGGGGCAGTGCGGAGGGCAGACCGGCTGCTGGCCTGACCACCTTGCGTTGTCTCCCAAAGGACCCCGTGGTTTAACGGATGGGGCTTTAACCTCCCGCGCGGCCAGTCCCTGCTGGACAAGTGGAACCTGGTTCCCGAGGGCATCGACATCCTCATGACCCATGGACCTCCGCTGGGTAAGTGACACCACGGCTGCGCTTCATCCCGTGGAGCGACTTCTCCTGAGCATAATGAGTGATGCGCCAGGGATGTAATCATTTTCCTCCAACAATCACAAAAGTGAATACAAAGAGAAAAGCCAGTGCCTTTAAAGAAAGCCAGTACGGTAATTAAACTCAGCGGTTCTGCCAGGCTTACAGGTGTTCGTGAAATTAAATTTTTTGATTTAGTTGAGTCAGGGAAAAATCAGATGAGTCCAGAGCGCCTCAGTTCTTTGAGCTAGATAATTATTTTAAGAACTAGCTTCACTTCGGAGAGAGAGGCTGGTGTGAGGAAGGAAGGCCCGACCTTCCAGTCTCCAGGCAGTGAAATGATGGAAACTTCTGTTCCAAAGGGCTCCTTTTCCTTGTCCACTAATGCTGGAACCTGGGGGGTCTTTCAGGTTGAACATTTGAGCTGATTACATGAGAACAGAATCTTTGTTCAGTGAGGACTCGGGATGAGAGTTGCTCAGGGGACTCACACCACAGGCACACGGGGGCTGCACCCGGCTTCAGAGTGCTGTGTGCTTCACGCCTGCTCCACCACCTTCAATTATGGGGGTCACTATGTGATTTACAGGATTCTCTCCCAGTTACTCATGAGCTTGCTGTCGGTTCGGCTTAACCACAGGACGGTTTTTAGCCAGGCCCCAGCACCTTGAGGTTGGGCCAAGCTAAGATGTGCTCCGAAATTCATGTGTTCACTTGCAGTAGGAGAAAATTGTATTTTCTTATTGTTAAAAAAAAGCAAAGAACACATACCATGAAATTAGCCTCAGCACACATTTCTGAGTGTGCACTCTAAGAGTTGGCTTCATCACCGTGGTTTAGGGAGCCGGTCACTTAATACAGATATAAATGATTTTCAGTTTCTCTTGGTTTGAGGTCGATACCCATGTGCCTTTTGTCCTCTCCCAGCCTGAAACCGGAAGCTCTTAATGTCATCCCCAAGTGCCATGCTGACCTCTGCAGGCATTTTCTCCTTTCCCTAGAAGGAAACTCGCATGTTTGGCCAAGAAACAGCAGAGGGAGGAACAGGGTGGAGGCCACAGCTCACGTGTAGATGATGGGGAAGCCAGGGAAGAGGAGCCAGTGAGACAGAGACGCTACAAACAGAATCACTGCCCTCGTGGTTATGTTCCTGACCCACACACCACCCACTCCAGGTCTGCTTGACAGGGAGGGACCTGTATCAAATCGTAATTGATTTCCCTGTTTCACCACCACGGAGACTCACTAGATCCTGAAATTGCTAGCTGAATACTCTTGTTGAACACCTGCGTGGTTTCCCGTGTCTCTCGTAAAGGACGTCAATACCTTCGGCATAGACACATTTCCATGACTGGGCTGTTGTTTGGAATAACTTTGAAGAAGACAGTAAACTGGCAAATGCTGCCAGGGCGTTCATGTTGGTACAGAAGCAGGCAGCAGGAAGAGCCTGGCTCTGGAGAGTGAAGACATGCAGCTCTCACCCTCGCCGGGAAGGCTCGCGGCCTTGTCCTTGTAGAAGCCGTGGAGGGAGCCACGCTGTGTGTGTCACAGAGTGAGATCCAAAGGAAACCTCAGCCAGAGTTTCCATGGGAAGGCGAACCTCAGAGCCTTCTGATGGGGCCTCTTGTGAGAATGCTCCCCCAGGGCGGAGCAGGCTGGCCTTGGGTTCCTCCCACTCTGCAGGAAGACACAGTGCTAGGGGACCTCACCATTAGGGTTCAAGCAAAATGGGTGCCTTCTGGTGCTTGAATAGGAAGTGGCTGGCATGGTCTCCCTCCTTCAGGAAAACACACCACAAGCTAATACGCCAGTTGCTGTGGATTCGGGACCCCCCGATAAGAAGGGCTGGAACTCTGATTGAAGTTTAGCCAGGACCTTGCTTTGCCTCTCTGGTCACTCCTCGGACCTCAGCTGCTGTCCTTACACAAACACTAAATACTCTTGTCTGCGGCTGGCAGACAAAGCGGAAAGCCGTGCCCTTCGCCGTGGTCGTTTTCGGTAGCGGGGCTACCCTAACGGCGGGGCAGTGTGGAGCAGATGCCCACAGGTGCTGAGGTGCTGCCTTCCCCCTCCTGCCTCCCAGGATGGATTTCACTGCAGCCCACCCTCATCCAGAGAGCTGACTCTGGCTATAATGGATGTCAGGTTTTATGGATTTTCTGCATTAAGCGTAATACTAAGTGGCTTTTACTTTAAAAGTAGTCAATTAGTCCAGCTTGCTGGATGCCACCACGGGGTCATATCGTTTGTTGCCTATTGCTAGAGGGGACTGGGGAGCAGCTCGATGCCGAGAGAGAGCCTTGGCCTTCGGGGGCCTGGGGCCTTGCCGGCCGAGGTCAGAGAGCAGAGCACTGCGGCCAGGTTTCGGAGCCCTCCCAGCCCTCCTGTGAGCCACCTTCAAGGAAGCTGCTGTAAGAAGTGCAAGAAACGTGTAATGCAGGGAATACGTGAACGGAGGGAATGGGAGTTATTACAGGGCTGTCGGGAATACTGTAGATGTCATTGAGTCCACGGAGAAGATTTGAAACCTGTGGCTGAATAAATCAAATTCCTTACAGAAAAAAATGTTAATTAACTGGAAGGAAAAAAAATGAAAACCAGAAAAAAAATTCAGCGATCTAAAGAAGACAAAGTGACAAGTGTAAAGTTTCTTAAAAGCCATTGTGCACTTTAATGGAGAGGCTAGGGTCCCGGATAGCGTAATAAACCTTCCGTGTGTTACGGCTTCCTGAAAGTCCCCATGAAACCTTGCCTGCAGGAGGAGAATTGTGATTACTGATTGCACTCTGCCCTTAGGTTTTCGAGACTGGGTGCCCAAGGAGCTGCAGAGGGTGGGCTGCGTGGAGCTCCTCAACACTGTGCAGAGGCGGGTCCGGCCCAAGCTCCACGTGTTCGGTGGGATTCATGAAGGTAAGGACAGAAGAAGGGGACTTGGGGTGTGCCTGTCCTGGTCCGCAGTCCCCTTCCACAGGGGACACTTAGCTAGATTGGGATCGGCTAGCCCACTCATGCTCAGACTTGGTAGAATTAGAACTCTTTCATGAGATGAAATCTTAGGAGAAAGATCTGCATGCAGAGCTGATATTGTATGGTGCTCTCTTTTAATCAGAATGCAGAGCAGGAAGCACACCCAGCCGACCTTCCCACCAACCCAAGACTCCCCCAACCTAGCACTGGAATCTCAGGCTCTAATGAAAAATAGGTGTTAATTGCTGGTACAGGGCAACACTGGGGTACATAAGGGCAGATGTTCTCTTTGACAGAGCTAAAAGAAATACCCCGGATATTAGGAGCTATTTTAACCCACCCCAGGCCCTTCCTACCTATAAATATTGTTCCATATGGAGCACACAAAAATGTTCTCCAAAAAATATCTCTGGACCTGCCCGCAGTCCGAGATGTGCAGTAGATTAGCAGATGCGGAAGGGCATTGGCAGGTAGACGTTTTCTTACAGCCTCAAGAAAGCCACGGCACACTTCTCAGAAACCATCAGCACAAGCTCACAATGAGGTTAAACAGAACAATTAAATCTCCTTTAAATGAGAACTGCTTCCGTTACTGTTCTCTGCCATTCAAGGTAAACTGAGTCAAGGTCACAGGAAGCTTCAGAGCTAGGGGTTTTGTCTCTACCTTTTCAAACCAGAGGTGTCCGGGCCTTTGTGCAGGCAGACACAGAGCCCTTTCATTGACCCTTGGGTTTCCAATCCTGCCAGACTCTGCTAGCTAAACCTCTGTGGGCAGTGGGTGCCTTCACGTGGGCAGCGCCATTCTGCCCCCTCTCTGCTTACAGCTGCTTCTGGGCTGGCTGTGAATCTGCAGTCAGGTTGAGGTTGAGGTGTGAGAGGCTGTGTGCATGATGAAGCCGAAGCACAGTTTGCTTCTCAGAGCCCAAGAGTCCAGAGGCGTCCTGGGCAGATGGGTACTAAAGAACATACTGAAAATCTACCCACCGAGGCCAGAGGAGAGTCTGCTTGCCCCAAGAGCAGGCAGCAGCGTGTGGCAGGGAAGCAGTGCCCGGTCCTGGCTCCAGCCGTGTGCCTGGGAGGGAAGGGGCTTCTCTAGCCTGGCACAGGGTGGTAAGAAGTGGGAGGCAGGGCTGCAGACAGGAGACCTCACATAGAAACAGGGTTTCTGGGGAGCCGTTATCTTGAACAGTGGTTTGAATTCCTGCAGCCCTCCTCAGAGATTGCATTTCACCTTTAAAAAAATTAAATCATTAATTAGCTTTCAACTAGCCAGACGATTGGAAAATTCCACTGAAGCACCAAAATAATAAACTTGCTTAAAAGGGAGGAGATCGTATTCAAATAAACTTGTCTTGCTTTCATTCACTTAAGACAGCTGAAGAGGGCAGCAAGAGGGCAAATACCAGCCTTTTGATGGAGAGAGATAGCAAGACTTTATGACCCTGGAACTAAACAGTGTACATTTTAAATGCCTCTTTTCATTTCTTAGACTTTTCTGTTGACCCTCATTAAGCTCTCCACAGGCTTTACTTGGAGAAACTTTAGCAAATGGAAAAACAGAACCTTATCAGTGATTTCTGTAAGTCCTGGTAATTTTATTTCTTCGTGGCTGTATTTTTATGAGGCATAAGAGACTGATGCTGATGGAGACTAAAACTGAGACACAAAGGCTGAACAGCAAAGACAGGTTGCCAGGGAAAGGTGCAGGTTTCCCAGAGCCCTAAACATTCGAGCACATTAAGAATTGCAAAAGGGGCACAAAGTCCTTCCACTGGGTCTCTAGCGTCCGCACCAACGCGCGGGCTGAGCTGCTTCTGCATGGCCCGGCCCCGGGCAAGCTCAGGAATCCGTCCTGCTCTGATGTTACACAACTCGCACACAGTCCGTGGTCTGTGCTTTAGGATGAAATGCAGCTCAGCAGGAAAGCCTCGCCATTGGGTCTCCTCCGTTCAGGTCCGGTTCACTTTTCCGAGACTGTTTGGAGCGAACTTCCTCAACCGGGAGGCTGAGCTCCTGCCTTCTCCCAGCTCCCGCCAGTGCCTCTGCGGTTTTGCCTAGGTCCAGTTGTGTTTGTCCCTGAGCAGCTGCTCTTCCAGTCCCTCAACAGTGAATACAGGGATTTGAAATGAAGATGCGGTAGAAGGAAGAGAGGGAAAATGTTCCTTTACTCTCCCCAGTAGAGAAATCCCCGCCTTTCCCTGATGAGTTTAGGTTTAAATAAGAAAAGAGAATCGCTGTTGGAGTGGAGAATTCGCACCATTAAAGAAAAGAGAGTCAAGTTGTGTGACAGTGCTTGTGTCTGGGTGGGAGGACCCGTGGGCTTCCCCTCCCGACCACCCCCACCGCCCTCTGCTGTCAGCTCTCTGTCACCGCAACGTGACACTGTCTCCTCACAGGTTATGGCATCATGACCGACGGCTACACGACCTACATCAACGCCTCCACGTGTACGGTCAGCTTCCAGCCGACCAACCCTCCGATCATCTTCGACCTTCCCAACCCACAGGGCTCCTGAACCTCCGATACCCAGGACGAATGTGCGGGAAGGTCCACAAATTGCCGTTCTTCTCCTTACAAACTTCATTCTCTTACTTGTTTATTTCCAAATCCTGTGATTTCTTTTTGTAAGTTGTTGGAACAAACAAAAAGATGCTAGAGGTTGTGCTTCTTTCTCCTTTTTCTCTTTTTAATGGGACCTCCGTTTGAAACCAGAGGAGCGTTGTAAATTTGTAAGATGACTTGTTTTCTCAAAGGCCATGCCATTGTAAATTGTTAGTGTTCGCCAAAGGACAGCCAAGCTTTCTTTTAAAGGGTGACAAAAGTCTTATTTTAATATGCTTTAAGCTGGAAGAAAAAGGAAAAAAAAGGAACAGGCAGACAGTGTTTTTAAAACCACACAGATTTGCACAACTTTAGAGTATTGTTTGAAGTATTTTGTTTTTTAATGTGTTGTTGTTGTCGTTGTTGTTTTGCTGGTAATGCTTCCTTTTGCAGTTCTGGTCCGGTTGAGAGTGACCTTCACAGCAGAGTAGGCGCAGGAAGCCTCCCCACACCGTGGCTCTGGCCAAGACTGTCGCCCCAGGCCGAGACTCCAGCCCTGTCTGCAGGACTGGGGGGCCCCTGAGCTTCTCACTGTGGTCACACAAGGACTCCTTGTCTGTTTGTTGCTTTTAAATTATTTTAGCTTTAAAAATATGGAAACAGAATCTGTCAAGAGCAAGTGTTTCATGCAGTTTTTGAAAAAATGAGCGTGCAGACTCCTGTTCAACATGGTTGTATATATATATATATATAAGTATTTTTTGTGTATTATGATTAAGTTAGGAGTTTAATATTGCCAAGAGCAGTACGGGAGGGTGCGGTATAGAAGTGCATCGAAGTCCCGGAGAACTGCTATGTTTCCTCCGAGCTCAAGGTCTGAAAGAGCTTGAGTTAAATCTAGGTACAGTGACAAGCGTGTATAGACGTAAATGGATGCAATGGAAGGTAACGGAAATAAGGCTTAGTTGTCCTTTCTATTTAAATGCCCCAGATTGTCTTCTTACTTCCTGTCCCCTCCCATTTTGCACTGTGTGTCGATGCAATCTTCGCTAGCACAAATTATTGTCGCTAATAGTCATTTCTGTTTTCCCATTGTAAATGCTGTTTGGGCTTTATTCCATTTTATGTTATCTTGAAATTTAGGAAACCAGTTGTTTCTTTAAATTTATTGTGATATTCTATATCTAGCGGCCTTTATATGCAAATAAAATTGCAAGATTTTTAAATCTGTGCTGTTTGGAAGGCTGGCTGGCTGCAGGATGGTGCTTTGCTCTGGGGAAGGGAGGGGATCTATTCCTATGTGACATTGCTAATCCCTTTTGGGAGAATCAGAGTGAGTCACTTGTTAAAAAAATTTGCAGTAAACTTCTTTACCCACCATTGGCAAACAGCAGGTGGATGGCTCAGGCACTCCACGTGAGTGTCCTTCCTGTCCTTCACGCTGTCACCCAAAGTTATTTCAGAGGCAGCAGATTTCCTCTGGGCCACCATAATACCTGAGAACAGAACATGTAGCCAGGGCTGTGTGTGCGTGCTGAGCTGCTCACGGTAGTGCAGGGAGGGAACCATTGACACTAGAATAAGCATCGCCCATTCTCATGGTCTGCAGAGCAGTCTGTGCCTCCTCCTGGAGTGACAACGGCCAGTGACAATCCCATCACTGGTCTCCTCGCAGTTTTCTGGTGCTTTTTTGTTTTTTAATGATGGCTGCCAGAAAGTGGAAGGGGAAACTGTATGCCTTTGTTATCCTCTGGAAGAACCACTGGGGAAAAGCCCTATGGGCTAGCATCTGCACGGTAGCCCCACTGGACTCCATTCTGATGCTTCACCTGCCTTCCTGCCTGTTGGAGTGCTTCTGTCCAATCCCTGAAAGGGATGCTTGATTTTAGGACCAGCAGAGAGAATGTTTGGGCCAGACTTCCAGCTTACCTTCACAGAGAAGCATCCTGCTCTGCCGAGGATGTTAGCAGGCCGTAAGAGCCTCAGGTGCCACCAAGCCCAGGGCAGGCACTGGGGTCTGAGCTTCCAGACCAACACTGGGGCTTTACGACAGAAGAGGCCGTGACTGTGGTAGCTCAGACCCTAGGGAGGTCCTAGCCCAGCCTTGGTGGGAGAGGGAGCTGCCTCAGGCCCTGTCCTAGGGGGCCGGAAGGAACATCACCATCACCCGGCTGTTACACCAGGAGCCTCAGACTTCTGGAAAAGCAAGGGTTCCCAAAATAGGTGAGTGATCACGATGAAGCTAAGCGCTTTCTCCAATAGCTTTCCACTGTGGCAGGGCAGGAGGCAGCTCTGTCTGCACAGTCTGGAGGGTAGACGGCCGGGACAGAGACGCCTGCAGCCAGCCTGGCCACCTTTCCATTCTCATAAGTGGCCTCTGGGGGACCTATAATGACCACCCAGAAGCCCCACACTTTCTCCACTGGGCCTGATAGCAAGGCCATTCAAAAGAGCTCTTAGAAATCAGGTACTTTCTGTCCCGTCACCAGGTACTGTGCTGAGCAGGCTTCATGGTTTTATTTCCAATTGTCACAAAATCTGGGGAAGGGACACATGAGCCCCACTTTATGCATAGGCAAGTGAACCCCTAGCTCCAACTAAATAGCTTCTCTTAGGAACAAGGAAGGGTCAAAGCCACATCCGCCTGATTCCATAGACCTCGTCCTTCTCACCAAGCTTTTGTACCTGAAAAGTTTACGCCTTGCAAGCGCTGGTAGAAAATGACTGTGGCCTGGGATGTATCCTGTCCCTCAGGTGGAAGCCTGTCTCACAGGCTCAGCGCAGTGGGGAGACCCTAGGCCCGGAGGACCCTTCTCTCCCGGCTCCACCACGGAGCAGCCACAAACACCATCACCTGCTAGTTCACCTTCTCCATAAGACGGAGCTGACCTAGAAGCTGTGTTCCGCACGTTCGTGGTGATGAAGTTGTATCCAGTTCACACATGGAGATCGCGCCTAGTGTCTAGAAAGTCGTGCCTGTGGGTTTGCACTCGAGGCCACCTCTGCTGTCCCGAGAGTCCGTGTGCAGGATTCCATCCTTCTGCTCCTCCCCATGCGTGCCCTTGGGAACTGTAGCGCACCTCCCTGCAGAGGGACGTGAAGAACTCAAGGGCATTTAGCGGAGGCAGATGCAGGAGCCGGGCTTCCCGCTGGATCCCTGTAATCTCCCAGCAGGAAGGGCCGTCCTCTTCAGGTTGCTTACAGTGGTCCGAGTCTGAAGCCCCTGAAGCAGCCCTCCCCTCTGGAGGCTCCCTGCCCCCTTCCTCTGTCTCTGTCCAGCTCAGTTAGTGCATTTCCCTGTATGTCCTCTCGTAATCCGCCTACGAATGTGAGTACAGCACCACTGAAATCCCTGGGAGAGGTAAGTCGCTGTTGGTTAAGCCTGCCTTCTCCTCTATCCCCAAAATGAACAGGCACTGACCCTGGACTCGGGAGGGAGAAACGGAAGCCGGGGGATTTGAGATTTGTGGTTCCACAGGAAACACGTGCTGTATCCCAGAGAGTGCCCCCACCTCGCCTCGCCCCGCCAGGGGGTGCAGCTTTGGCACAGCCCTGTGCCATGCAGATGTTTTTATTTCCCAGTGTCTTTTCGTGACTTATTCCCACTTTTCTAAAAGCCTGAATGTGTGTTTTGCTTCATTATTAAGCAGAAGTGACCCGAGGTGTAAGAATCTGGCCAGGCACTGGGGAGAAGGGAGGGGACGCTGGGAGGGCCGGAAGTGGGAGCCAGCGTCTGCACTGCGGCTTCTCGGAGGCACCAGGCTCATAGTGCCAGGCTGCCGCTTTTCTCCACTCTTGTAATCAGGCAGCAGGATCTCTGAGGGCGGTCAGCTCTCTTATTCCGGAAGCTTAGAACTACCTTCCCCTCCCTTCCCTGAACATTCGCTGCCCCATGCCTTGCATATCCTGCTTTTGCATGAAATAGAAGCACACACTGGCCCCAAAGCCCCCTGAGGAGCCCCTCGCTTTGCTGTGCCCTCAGAAGGCTGGCTGCTGAGAGTTCAGAGAGGGTCCATTCACCACTGAGCTCACACAGCAAATCCAAGAGCTCCACATCAGTGTCTGGATGCTGTCACTCAGAGCCGCATGGACCTGTGTCTGCCGGACATTCGGCCCTGGTCACGGTAAGGTCAGTCAGGGCAGGCAGAATGGGACTCATAGTGGAGAAGAAGCCACCAGCCTGTGAGGAAGAGAGCAGATGACTTGAAAACCACCTCAGGACCGGAGCCCTGCATGTGGCCATATGAGTTCGCGCCTCTCCCTTCAGCCATCCACCTGTAGCTTCCTCCTCCTGAAGGGAGACGTTCACCATGCCTGCCCTCCCCAGCTCTTTGTCCTGCCCTTTGGCGTCCCCTGGGTGTCAGGCCTGGACAACGTGGGGTGTCAGAAAGATCCCCAGCTTTGTAGTGGGCTGCACTGCATAGACAGAGCCACTGTACTGCTCGGATTCCACCCTGCATACTGGTGAATTCCACATCACCACGGATGGTCAGACTTGATAATGTTCCTACTGTCGGGGCCTGGGAGGAGGACTCTACTACTCGGTCAGTCGTAATTTCTTACAGCAGGAAATGTTTATAAAAAAGGCAAAAGTGAGCATGTGTCTTATTTTCTGTTAGCCACCTCCCTTCAGAAAGGAAAGCCCATTCCTTGGGCTGGACACAAACCCAGCTCTTCAGACTCCTGGCTGTCGTTAAATTAGCTGACAACATTCTCAGTGGCAGGTTCGCCTCATTCCGTGTTTGCTTCCCGAATTAGGGCGCCTTATAAGACAGAGCTTCTGAGGTAAATAGGCTCTTTTCTTCCCGCGGGGATCTGTATCTGGGTAATGGTGAGAGGGAGAAGTGGTCTCCATTAGGGAGCGGCCGCAGTCATACTAAAAGCACCAGCAGACTAAACACTACCTGCAGAAAGCTCCTCCATCAGTCAGCTCGGATCTGGACGCAGCCGGGCTACCAGGCGGGCTTCTGTCAAGAGTGTCTTGAGGCTGTCAGAGCTTGCTTACCTCAGGAAAGGGCCTGCGATTTCCTGGCCCATTTCTGCCTTGACCTTATAAATGACCTTGGAAATAGGATGAGGTTTTCAATAGAAGCTCCCGGAATAGCAGATGGCTTGGATTCCAAATGCTCCTTCCGTGCTTGGGCTCCTCAGTTCGGCCCTTGCGCAAGGCAGCTCTCATGCTCGGTGATGGTTCTCTCGTTCTTACAGGAGCTGCTATGTCCAGGAGCCTCCGCAGATGGGCCCCCAGCACCACCAGAAGCCTCTCTCTTGGCGCTGCCAGAGCTACCCACCCAGTCTTTCTCTATGCCATGGTCTGAGGGTTGCCTGTCTGCCCTGAGCTCTGCAACGAGGCACCATGTCTTCTGTCTACATCCACAGTATCCAGGTCTGAAGAAATGATTTCTTAACGAATGAATCAATGTCTGGGAAAAAAATCAGCAGCTGGGTGTATAGGAAAAAATAGGCACAGTTCCATTACACGGATGGAATCAATAAAACATTCAGCCAACGCCATAAGCCAGGTGCTTTGCTAATGTAAGACCCAGTACTTGCAGTGAAAGGGCTTTATACCATGGTAGAGAAAACAAGAGAACAACTGACACATGAAGGGAAATAGCAAGAAGAGATTTAAATAACAGCCCACAACAGCCAAAAGAGAACTGCGGTCTGTGACATGGGGTTCCTCGGGTTACTGAGTGAGTGCCGCAGTTGTAGGGAAGCTCAAAGTGGGTCTGACCCTCAGACACACAGGGACCTGGGCAAGAGTCTGTGATAGTCCTAGAGAGCGTCACTCGCAGAGGAGAGAAGCCATTACGGCCAGTGGCCCTTGCGAGTGTGTCGCGTAGTCGGTTTGTTTTCTTCCTTTAGTCCGTGCGGTGGTTTTCTCTTGTGGCACGCCATTGACCAGATGTGCCCTGATGTCTCAGTCCATCGCCTGCAAGGACTTTCGCATGCGTCGGTTGCTGACTTGTTTTCTCCCAATCCACACATAAATGAGAGGAATGATTTACCCAGGGCCACCTTTGAGCAACTCTTACATGGAATCTGGAGCAGTTCTGGGGAGAAGTGCTGCCCTGCATGCCCAGGTCTCTGCTGCTCTCAACTGGCGCAGAGGGTGACTCTGGCCTGGACTGCAGTGGTCTCCTCTGTCCGAGTTTCCAGGAAGCTGGTCCAGGTGCCATGGTGGTCTGCAGCCCCTGCATTTGAGAGCTGCACCTCCGGTGGGTG